CTCTGCTAAAATATCTAATAGAAGGGAAGCAGCTTAGGTTTCTATTATCCAGTAATATTTTCTGAAATACTCATATTTGCAGCCATCAAGCCCTGCCAAGTTCTGCGATGAATGTGGAGCTCCATATTTAAGAGAAACCTCTAAGTTCTGCTCAGAGTGCGGTGTTAAGAGGTTAGGAATTTGACGTGTGCTGTATAATGATCGTTGTTAGTTAGTTCCAAAAAGCTCATTGTTGTATCTAGTTTCTCGTCAAGTTAGTGGAAATTAAGTTTTCTGCAGTCCTCGTACATAAAATTTAGATCTCAAATATACAGATATACATAGCTATGATGTCAGCTTTTGAAAGGAATGAATATAGAAATTACTCTTACCCATAAACGTGCACTGTTATTGGAGCTGTATATTTCTTAAAGATTTCAGAAGAGAATTCGGATGCCAAGAAAGTATAGCGAAAGTTTCCTTCCTAAAAACACTACATACAGGCATCATCACCTTCTTGGCTTCTCTTGCAGCCCAAGGACTTCATGGAAGAACCTTTCTTAACGTAGCTTGCTGCAAGAGCATTCTTGAAAACATACTGAATGCCTTGATCTGATCGTTGAAAATCGAACCGAAAAAAATGTTGTCATATCATTGAAATGCCTCTAGATCTTATTTTGTGGATCTGCTAGTTCGTCCGATTTATTTGGAATCATTTCTTGGAGGTGTTTGGGGTTTCTTTAGCCTTTTTTTTTTTTTTTTTAAATTGGGAGTGAAAGCTTTGCTTTCCTATACCAAAGGGCACCCACACTTTGCTTTAAGGCTTGGATCCAAGAGTTTTTTGTATTAAGTCCATCGGAAAGTTCGAACTTGAGACCTCTAGGCCAATGTGACCAAGAGATCTCAAGCTCTTGCCAATCAAGTTGACCCTTGAGGATGGACTTTCCTATACCAAATGGCACCCGCACTTGCTCTAGGGCTTGGATCCAAGAGTTTTTGGTATTAAGCCCATCGGAAAATTCGAATTTGAGACCTCTCAGCCAGTGTGACCAAGAGATCTCAAGCTCTTGCCAACCAGGTTGACCCTTGAGGGTCGGGTTTCTTTGGTTCTCAATAGAGAGTGTTGCACGATGATGGAGGAAATGTTGCTCTTTCCCCCTTTTCGGGATAGAAAAAGTTTTTTGTGGCAGGCTTATCCATTTTTATTTATTTATATATTTTTGGCTATTTTGTACAGCTTTTGGCTCATGAGGAGTAGCAGAATTTTTAGGGGTTGAGAGGCCTTGGGAGGAAGTTAGAAATATTATTATTCCTCGCTGTGAGTGTCGGTCTCGAAGGTTTTTTGTAATTATTAATTAGAGATTATTCTTTTGGACCGAGGCCTTTTATATAGGCCGGTCTCCTTTTGTCAGGCTTCTTTTTTTTATGTCCTTTAGACCTTCTTTCATTTCTTTTCAATGAAAGCATTCTTTTCTTATTGAAAGAAAAAAGAAAAAACACAATGTTGTCAATATCATATCAGAGTTTTGACACTTGGCAATCATTTTGAAGAACAGGAACATGAAGGATATCTTCCTAGAGTTAGAGAGTTAATCTGAGGAGAGACTGTCATTATTTGAAATTCAAATGGTTTTGCCGTTTCTTGCCAAATAGTTTCTCATACTCATTAAAGAGAGTATAGAGTGAGTTGCTTAGAAAGTTGATGTCAGGAATTTAGGTGGCCTGGAATTGGATCCTCCACAGTCTGTTTTTCCAGCTTCAAAGTAAATACAGGGATAGAGGAGATATCTTATATCCCTATATAGGAGTTTAAAGTAGTTTTTTCAAAAATCACTCTAAAATTTTTTCTGCTTACTTYCATTGTTGTCTGTTCGAATGAGTATTGTTAAAGAATTTGGTTCTTGTTGCTGTATGCTCGGTGAACATTATGAATCTCCCAAGTCAACTCTTGAAGGGCACCTACTTTAAAATGAAAGCTATATCGGTATGCTTGCAAAACCTTCATTTGGGAAGTTTGGGTTGAAAAATAAATGGAAGAATTTTTCTGATAGTTGTCGATTTCTTGATCTGATAAATTTGATCGGTTTGTGGCTTTTTAAGGCACTCATTTGATAGAATCTTAGTCTAGAGACGGTTTTGGTTCCTCTACTTTTGGTTTTGATTCATTTTGATTATTGTATTTCTAACTTTTGTATACTTAGTCCTTATACTTTTAAAACATTTGTTTTAATCCCTATACTTTTAAAGGCGAGACTTCTTTTACTATTTTTTACTATTGTTTATTATTAAATTTATTCTAAAAATATATCATCCACTAAATTATTTCCAAGAATAATGCTCACAAAATAGGTGGTCGATAATATATGAGGTGGCAGCTACAAATCTCTTGATTTTTTTTTTAAATCCATAAGTTGTCATCTTCGATAAGTTGTGTATCTTTTTTTTTTTAATTCACAACATGTCGTCTCTTGGCCACTTATAGGTCATCTCTAACAGATGATTTTTTATTGTTTTTTTTAATCTCTGTACCGACATGGCAATTAAAAAGAAAAATCAAATTGAATTTAACTAAAAAAATATCTAACAAAATCTCAAAACAAACCAAAAAATGTATTTTAGAAAACAAACTTTAAATTAAATTTAACTATAAAAAACCTAACAAATTCTTAAAAAAAATATTATAAAAAAATCAATCTAAAAAACAAACTTTAATTATGTTTAGGTATGAAAAATCTAACAAATTCTTAACTAATTCTTATTAAAGATTAAAATTATAAACAAACTCTAATTTTTTAAAAATTTGATCGGATGATTGTACCTTAGATTTTAGAAAAAGGTCTGCAATCCAATAGTGTTTCGGCAATCACTCACAACTTATGAATAAMAATTTTAAAATTTATTTTCTGCTTGTGACATTTATACTTGAATTCTAAGTCTCCACATGACAATTTCTCATCATCGACTCATTGTTTTCTGATTTTTTATTAATATTTATGGGGGAGGTATCATGATATTAAAATGTTTTAATGATAAATTTAATTTAAAATTTGAACGCTTAATTAATTAAATTAATTTATTTTAAGATTTTGTTTTTAAATAGATTGTTAGATTTTATTTTAAAATATATTTTTAAAGATTTTGTTAGTTAAATTTAATTTGAATTTTTAAAAAAATAAATATTAAGAAAATCTTGAGAGTACCCTATAGGTAAAGAGATTTTATAGGTGGTCAAAATACAGAGACACAACTTGTGTATTAAAAAAAAATCAATAACAAAAATAGTTTGGTAAGTGATATATTTTTGGAATAAATTTAATAATAAGTAATATTTAAAAAAAAATCCTTYGAAAGTGACTATTAGGATGTTTTCATTTTCATTTATATATCATTTCTTTTCACCATAATTTTTTTTTTGCAAAGGTTCTTACCATAATTTTAACTGGACAYTTCACTCATAAAATTTCATAAAATTTCTTGAAGTGTAGCCATAAAATTGTATTAATTGAAGTGTAGTAATAAAATTGTATCAAACAATTTTTACTGTATATAAAATTTATGTTAAATTTTACCCATAAGAATTAAGATAGTCATTTTTTAAAAGTACATGAACTGAACTAAAGCAGATTTTTTGTAAGTATAAAGATTAAAATGAACAAAACTTGAAAGTATATAGACTAAAATTGATGTCTTGAAAAGTATATTGATTAAAATGAACAAAAATCAAAAGCACGGACGTTAAAATAGTATTTAAATTTATAATTTTTTTCTTATTATTTTGAGCCAATTATTGTAGTAGTAGTATTGGACCCTCCCATTCTTTTACATCCTTATCAGTCATACATCGTTTTCGTTTTTCTATCTAAAAGATAAGATAAAATTATAGAACATGCACGCTCCCCGATACCTGCAAATTTTTCCTAAATAATAATATATTTTTCCCTTTTAAAAAAAATAATGTGTGTATATATATTTCATTGGTAAAGACTAGAAATTAAATTGTGTATTCCAAATTATTGAACTTAAAAAATATGTATAGTTGTAGTAATTAAAATAATGTTATTTATGTTTCAATTTTAAATGGTATACTTAAAAAAAAATAACAACCTAAACTCATTTACGAAAAGACTAAAATAGTAAATTGGCGGCAATTTCTTCTGTCTCACAACGTGTCAACTCACATAGTCATAGACAATGATAAAATGTCTAAACAGGTGGGTGCTTTTTTTTTTGAAATTTCCATATTTACAAAATCATACTACAATTTTTTTTTTCCTTTTTTCTTTTACAAAATCATAAAATACAATTGTCATCCACTAAAATTTCAAATTTGAATATCACCAAATATTCTAAACGAAATGTGTTTGTACTTTATTATACTCTTGTTAATCTAATTGGGTCAAAGTACATTTAAATATAACATAATCTTTCTTATCTTAGTTTGTGACCAAGGTAATAAAAAATGTTATTTAAATAACGTAATTTGAAATATTTAAAATGATTCACGTGAAGAAAAATATATGTTGCTTTTCTTTGGAGTCATAAGAATTTMTTTATAACCTAATCAAAGTTTTAACTGTCGACATTGATGAAAATGTCGAAATCTCAATTTCATGAAAACGTCGATAGAAATGTCGATAAAATATCAACGTTAATGGTTATTTCTAGAAATGTTATAAAAATTTGTAAAAAATATTTAAATTAACAAATAAACATTTTAAATAATTTTTAAATAATTAATATTAATATCATRCCTATATAGTTTTTTTAATATTTTCTATATCTTATCGATTTTTTTTTAATAGTATATGATGGAAACAACCATGGAAATGATGGATATTTTATACCATGAACCCAACCATTTTAATTTGCAAAAAAAAAAATAAAGGAAAAAACCTTTAATTTTCGTCTGAATGTTAAAAAAAAAAATCTCATAGCAGGGGGGATCAAATGAAACGGATCAAAGAGAGATTCAATGGCAAAATTATGCGAGTAATAATATTTTTATTTTCAGAACCAAAAATGCCACACGCGAGAAAAACAGTGGAACCAACTAGCCCTAGCAGATAACAAAACGACATCGTTTTAATAGTCGGGATTCCAACGGCGGCGCCGCCGGAGGTAGGTTTCGATRACTTGCGATCGGGGTCCAAAAGGTTCCCTCTTGCTCCCTCCAAAGTGTACAGTTCACTTGTTCTTGAAAATATCGTCTACCAAACTCAACCACCAGAAATCCTCCGACCGGCCATAAACCCCTCTTTCTCTCGCTCTCTTCCTTCGTAGCCGCTCGCCGGAACCATGAGCTCCACATTCGCCGCCATGTCTTCACCCTCTTCCTCCTCACTTTCATCCATCTTCCATTTCAATGCGTCTAAACCTAAACCGGTCTCACCCCCAAATCTTCGTTTTGCTGCTCCCCTTTCTCGTAATTCTGTATATGTGCAACGTTTTAGGGTTAGGGCTTCCTCTGCTCCCCTTCCGGACGCTTCCCGGAACCACCCTGTTGTTCAATGCCTCCGGAACTATGCCAGAGCTGCGATTCTCATTGGTGCTGCGGCCACCATGGTGGGGAAGTTCTCGCATTTGCCTGCAAGAGCCGAGTCTCCGGCGGCGGTGGCGGAGGAAGCTTCCAGAATGGAGGAAGATCGGCAGGTGGTTGAGGACTCGGACCGGGACAGGCAGCAATCCTCGCCGTTGAACGATTTTCTCGAATCGAATTCTGAAGCTGTCGAGGCACTCAAGTCTCTCCTGCAGCAAAAGCTCGAAAATGGTGAGGATGAGGAGGCTCTGAAAATCTTGAAGCAGTTGGTATCTGCTCAGCCGTCGGTGACCGAGTGGAAATTTCTGATGGCCAGATTACTCGGCGAGATGGGCAAAACGGAAAATGCACGAGATGTGTTTGAAGAAATTTTGGCTGTGAATCCATTGTCTTTCGAAGCATTGTTTGAAAACGCATTGTTAATGGACCGTTGTGGGGAAGGAGAGGCAGTGCTTCGGCGGTTAGAAGAGGCTCTGAGAATTGCTGAGGATGAAAACAAAGCGAAGGAAGCTAGGGATGTGAAGTTGATAATGGCTCAAATACAGTTCTTGCAGAAGAATGTAGAGGAGGCCTTGAAGAGTTATAAAGAATTGGTGAAGGAGGATCCTAACGACTTTAGGCCTTACTTTTGTCAGGGAATGATCTATAGCTTGCTTGATAAGAATGTGGAGGCCAGAGAGCAATTCTCCAAGTACAGGGAGCTCTCTCCAAAGAAATTTGAGGTTGATGGCTACCTACGGACTCCATTGTCAAGGATGAAAATTTTTGGATCTGATGAGAAGTAAAGTCATTCCACGATGATCAGATAAGTGGGCTCTTTGGAAAATAGAAGATGAGTAAACGAATTTAAGGTGATACTTTTTTTTTTCCTTTTTTTTCTTTTGCTGATTATTGTCATTTAGCACTTCTTACTCTTAGTCTGATCTGCCGTAAGCATATGTAGTTCATTTGCGGGATTAAATAGGAGTAAATTGAATYTTATGAGGACAGGTGTTTTCCCTTTCATGAAGCATAAATTTTGCTAATTTATGCAGTTGTTTTGATGATACTGTATTAGACTACTCACATTAGTTGGAATAAATGCAGAAAGGTGCTCCGTTRGTAGTTTATCATGTTGTGTGTTGACTTCTGTTTCAAAATAATAATAGCTATRGTTCGTTTGTATTGTTACAATTGTTCTTGCACTTCGATGTATAGAAATGATTATTTCCTTCATKAAAATAAGATAGAATAAGAATGAAAAATCATCTCCTGAGAGAAGGGCAAATATTTCTTGAAAGAGAGAGAGAGAACATCCTACTTGCTCATCCTTATGGGAGAGTTCCACATGGACTTTTCTGCCTAATTTCAAATGGTAGTTTCAAAGGAAGGGTTGTGAGAAGAGTATGCTTATCTTTCCTTAAAAGCATAGCGATTTTCAAAGAAGCCATTAATATGTTTTACTATAAAAAGTGAAAATAAAATTGTTAGATCTGATTTTGTCTCTTTCTTTTAGATCTGTGTCAATATGTGAGATTGAGGAAATTAAAGTATTTTTTTACCTAGAGTACAAGTACGTGCTTGCATCTGTCTGCACTAATAGTCTTTTTGGGATATATCTTGTGATCTTAGATTCTTAATTGATTATCCAAATCTTTAGACAATTCTGGATGCTTTAGAGTAGGYTTATGGTAAGGGGGTTCATTTTCTTTTTCAAATTTGATGAGGAAGAATCCATCGCTTTCACTTCCACTGCAAGTTTCCACGATGATTTGAGAAAGAAGGTTGGTTGGGGTAAGCAATTCAATCTTTATCACTATTTATCAGTTTGATAAGAGCAATTTTGCTTGAAATAAATGAGASTGATCATTAGTACAAGGATACAGTGTCTAAAATTATGTCTGTGCTTTGAAAATGATGATGATGGTTGRTGGCTGATTTTAACTTAGATATTTAACTGCTGCTAAATTATACGCCAACTGTAGTGACGTTGTATGATTTTCTTACTATGATTATGGTTATGATGATTTATTAATGTCTGTTGAAGGAACTTTTGTAACATCCTTGCTCTCTGTCCCCTTTTTGTGCTTTGTTMTATTGAATTGATATAACATTTCTACGTTTCTGATTGTTAGAAAATTATATATTGTTGGGATCAACTTTCATGATTTTGCAAACTTTTCTACTTTGTATGCAACTGGAAGTCAACCCGAGCTTAGTGAATAGTACTTATGATATTCATGGGTTTCTATCTCAACACAATTGGTAATGAGATGAATAGTCCACTTATATTATAAATTCTTGRTAGGTTCCTTATCTTTTCAATGTGGGATCCTTAACATCCCTTCAAGATTTCTTTTGGCTCATYGATTTTGGTCAGATTCCAATTTTGGACCGCTTGCTCGTTTGAGCGTTTTGGGCTCTAATACCATATTTATATTCATGGGGTTTCATCTCAAAACCAATTGACGATGAAAGGAGTAACTCACTTGTATTTATATTTTTACTCTTTGCTAAAAGAAATTCGGGAAATAATTAAAACTTTTATACTCATGTCAGTTTTTTCTTTCGTTCAATTTTTGCTTCATTGTTAAATGGGTGAGGTTTGAGATCGAATTTTCATTCTTAAAGAAGATAATTGAGGCTATAAATTATACRAAATGATATAATTGGATTTAATTTTGTACTTGGCATATTAAAGCTTCGGTTTTATCCTTGACTTTCTAATTTTATTTTTGAAAAGATCTTACATTTGCAATTTTTGTTAAAATGTTTGGAGGAAATAAAAATTGGGATTAATGTTGAAAATTTTAGAGCTAGGGCGGAATTAAAATCAACTACGTATGTTAGGGACATTTTGTTATCATTTTATTGGTTTCAATTTGGTCCGTAACCTACTAACAATTTAAACTTTACCAAAGATCATAGTGAAACTTGTAATTTTTTGAATACTAAAGACAAATTTGAAAACAACTACATAATTTAAGGACATTTTATATAGTTTATCCCAGTAAAAATTAAGATRTTTTAAATCTAAAATTTAATGGTTATGTTGAGCAAAAGGCTTTATTGTCAACCCAAACATCGAATAATGGATAAAACTCTTGCTTAAAATTGATRATTTAATTCCTAACTCTTACGTTTCTTCAAGATGACACAATGACAAGGACTTGRGGCCTTGTGGTATAACCTACCGTAAGATCTCTTTTCCTTGCAGTATCACCTATCATGAGATCTTGTGTTTGAGTTATACGTTGGACACAGTGCTGTTGGCAATGAGTCTCGATTATAGAGATCTATAAGCGTAAGCCATATGACATCGATTTTGAGAAATAAAAAATCTCAACTTCTACCATTATTGAACTAAAAAAAAATACATCATGCATACCTCGACATCATAAATTAAATCGTTATTTTAACTTAGAGTATAAAAAAGAGAAGATACTTTGTCAATTATGCTCAACAATTAATTATGCCTACCTCTTCATCATAGGTTAAATCGCTATTTTAACTTAGAGTATAAAAAACAAAAGTGTTGTTTAAGCTTATGGAAAAGAAAAAGAACTATTCAACCAAAAGATAATTTGTACCTAAACTATTTAAGACTAGGGAGTAGGATATTAAATTTCATAKGTCCTATATTTTACATCGACATCTTTATACTATCATAAAAATTTAGACAAAATATAAAAATATTAACGAATGTTATTAATATAGACATAATATTCATATTAATAAATTTTAACTCATTTAAAAAAATGAAATGCTTGATCCTTATGTTTTAATATTTGTATTGATTTTTTCTTAACATATATATTTTTAATGAAAAAAGTATTAAGTAATCCACGTCCCTTCTGGAAAATAAAAATAAAATTTACTGCTGTTGAACTTGGGAAATTGAGATTTCTAACCCCATTATATAACTCATCTGGATTTTTGACCCCTTTTAAAAAAAACTAATTTTGTGATCCTTACTGTTTTAATTTGTCCCCTTTCCACTTTTTGTCTTTGTAAAATTACCAAAATATCCTTGTTTATTTTAAGTAAAATTATCCACCAATCTTTTCTCTCAACSATTGGCATTTTTTTTAATTTTGAATCTAATATAAATCTAATATAGATTAATTTATTACTTAACAAACGAATCAACACAAAAAAATCYGTAGATTAAATTCTCCAATAAGTAAATTAGGGTGAAAAAAAGATTTGCATAATCCAAGAATAAATGCATAAGATTTGTTCGGAATTAATTACAAAAAAAAAAAAATTAAGGTTTCATAAATTTCGTGTCAAAATTGCATTAAATGCCCGAGATTTACTTGACAATAAAGGCTAAAAGAAACTGGAATTCAAAGGGAGATAATGCAAAAA